CCAGTGTAAAATAAAGACTTAAACCTGAGTGACATGCACATGGTGCCTCACTTACGCCACTGGGCTTTGCACGACCTGTCTGTGAAAAGTAACATGCAGGCTTTGGGCCCAGCCCTGTTTTATGTTTAGATGGCATCCATATTTGTTCTGAAAATGAGGAAGCCTTTGAAGACATGGCCCCCGCTGACAATCATTTCAGACATGGCATGGTGAGGAGTTAAGGGAGCAGAGTTAGTTAAGGAAGCACAAGGCTCCAGCAGAGCTAAAATCAAGCGGTTAGTTTTGTCAGACACTAGTCTCTGCACTTCCAGTAAATCCGGTGTGGTTTCTTTTATGTGTACATCCACTCAGCGTAGGTAGGTAGCATAGTAAGATTTGGGGCTTTGGGAAGGAACAGTGTGACACACGTGTCACATGGTTAACAGGAAGAGAGAGGGCAGTCTGTGCATCAGTGGCATCATGGGAAAAGCTACAGGGATCAGAGCAGGAGATGAAAGTAAAAGGGACTCAAGATTGAAGTCAGTGACTGAGCAAAAGGGAAATGAGATGAAAGGTCAGAGACATCAGCTGGGGCTGAGTCATCATGAATTTAAGTGACTGGTACTATCAGTTTGCCATCCTGAATGCTGCATCAATCCAATAAAAAGCTCCAGAGGTATAATATGGTACTTCCCACCCCCACTGCTCAGAAAATTACCTGCCTAGACAACAAGGGCAATTCCAGGGTAAATATGTTTTTAAAAGCATGAACCTTAGCTCTATCACTACCACTTGATAATTCTGTCTTTAAAAATACCCCAAAGAATAAGAACAGAAACATCAAATCTAACACACTATGTTAGACCTGGAGCACACAATTCCATACCTGCTTAACTTTAAAAATGCAGGTAAGTCCTATATTCAAGTTTAGCATATGCATATATACAGACCTGCAGCATGAATTTTGCTTTTCATGCTTCATTCAGCCTAAACAACAAAAAAAAGACCAGACAGTTTAACTTTTGCATTCCAAGTACTAGACCACTGCTGCAATATTGGGGTTGCACGTGCTTCAAACGAACATTTAAAATGCAGATGACATATGGTTTTCAGTGGCTGTTCCGTATATTTTTAGAAGCATGAAAACACTCTTTATTAGATTTTATACACACTTTATTTTTGTTTTATAAACCAAGACATACAGCTGGCACCTAATTTTCCTGGCAAGGTCCATTTAATCGCTTGATTTTTGCTCAATACTTACTTGCACTCTGAATCCGTTTTGCATGTTTAAGAAAACTTTTAAGCGGCGGGAAGTTTAAAAATACACAAGTAGTGAGTATCACTACAGAGCTGCAATTCTCACCGGGGATGCTGGGAGATCCTCTGAAGGGTGAAGGTTGGAGGAAATAAGAAGGTGTGAGAAGACAAACAGATAAGTGCAGGCTCAGGCTCAGTCCCTGCCCGGCCGATCCCCGCCCCGTCTGCAAGGCAGGGTCAAAGCACTATAAATCCGGCTTTGAAATGGGGTGTCCCAAGTCTTCTGAAGGGTGCACTGAATCTAAAAAGGTGGAGAACCATTACTGCAGAGTCATTCAAAGCACATTCGGGAAAGGCTGCAAGTATTTTGTTTGACTTGATACATCACATTTACCCAAATCCAAGACAACATTGAATTTAAGACCCCCCCCACCCCCACTGGATTCTAGACATGGATAATTTATAAATTTGTTACAACTTTCTATGTCTAGAATCCAATTTTTAAAGAGCTGTCTTACAGTTGTCCCCTCCAACCAGTGCAGTGGGGCAAGCAGCAACAGTGGGCCAGGAAGCAGGGGAATGAAATGACCCAACCCCTGTATCATGCCACCTGTCCCCCACCACCACTGCTGCCTGCATGCCCCACGCCTGCCCCTGCAGTGCCTGTACCACCTGCCTCCTGGACCTCTGTACCCTCCCACCCTGCCATTGCTTACCTTCCTCTAGCAGCTCCAGCTCCTGCTGGGGGCCCACTCGGAGGCTGGGACCACAGAGCATGTGCTGCCTTCAGCTTTAGTCCAGCTGCACAGCAACTGTTGTAGTGGCAGGAGCTTCAACCATGACCCCAAGACCAGGGCCAGACCTGCTGCCACCATTGTGTAGCCAGGCTGGGGCTAGAGGCAACACATGCTTCATGCTCCATGCTCCCTGCCCCAGCCCAAGTGGGTTCCCAGCCAAACCTGGAGCTGCAAGCAGAAGGAATCAGGGCAGCAGAGGCTGAGGAGGGCAGGTAGCAGAGGGGGCAGTAGCTGTGACTCTAACCCCAACCTCAGGCCCAGAGTCACGCAGAGGTACAACCCCTCTCCCACTTGTACTTTATTCCAAGACAAGTTGTTCCCCCAACCCATGTTGAAAGCGGGGGGGGGGGGGAAAAA